GGGGTGGAGGGACAAACCACTCAAATGTTTGGAAACACTCATTGTGTGTCAGATAGCTACTGATAACACATCCTAACATTGCTTTGTCTGAGTTTATCTTTGAAACTTATAGGCACACAGAGTAAACCTGTGTTGTTGATTTTGGAAAACACTACTGAGGCTGCCTTGCTTCCCTTCAGAAAATCCACATTTTAACCAACTTACATGACATTCTATGTTATGTTGACTTTATCATATGAAAGTTTATAGTGCATTTCATCAATTAATAAATAAATGTGAAAATCGAAATTTTCAACACAAATAATAGTCTCACTACCTTAATACCCTCATAGGTGAATGGCAATCTACAGGGAACGGTATTACATTGTACTTCAATAAAAAGAAATGTTCCTGACAAGTTTAATTCAGTTTCTGTGATTCAGCAGTCTCTTTCAAAGGACTATTTGTCACCAAAGTGGCACCCAAGTTTGCTTCACTTTTAAACCTCTATAGTCTCCTTTATCTATTCAAAGCTTTTCACTTGTGGAGTACAGTTATAGTACACAAATACAACAGTTATGGTACCGGTATCTATAAATTCCTTTGTGAGTTTTCATAATCTTATTTTGCCTTTAACTGACTGAACCACACACAGGTATTCTGACAGTCACAGTTAATTCATATATTTAAGATTTTTGACAATAAAATTGACGATTTTTCTTTAAAAAACAAACAAATCAAAACATGGTCAATATTTGAAACAACATTTTTAACATCCCAAGGAGAGAATTCAATAATGCATCAAATAGGAATTTCCAGGAATAAAGTTGATAGCTTGAGTTCAACAAATGGTTCAGACTCAGATATGTTTATGTACAGAATCTATCGTTGAAGCTAGTCTTTTCAAATCATCTTCAGCATACTAGATATATAACAATTAAGGGACTTGTGTTCATTAAATCATGAGTTATAAACAAAATATTCTACAACAAGCATATTATATTAGATTTTACGTTGCTGGTTTATCTTACTTTAGGGGATGAGCATTAGCAAACTCTGAAGTGGTACAAAAACTATACAAATTTAGTTTTCTTTTACTAATTAAATGCATGCTGATCATCTCCCTTGAATGTTTAATGATCAGCCCCTTTGTCAGTGAAATTAACTCTTCAGTAAAATAAACCATGCGACGACTACCACGCTTTAAGTATATTGAAATAAAAATAAAATCTTACATGATTTTGTTGAAGCTGATCAAAATGTTTTTGTCTTTGTGCTTGCTCCTTGGCAACTTCCCTGGGATCTCTATCACTAGTCCAACCTGTGTGTAAAATAGCAACAAACAAGAATATATTAATTTATCCAGTGGTATCCTAGCAATAACACTGCAGGGTTCAAATGTGAGTGATACAGTTTACCATGACACATAGAGGGAAATAAATTATTTCAATTTATAGTGTCAAAATAAAAAGTTATGATATAACATATCTTTGATGTAAGTATTTTAATTCCCACCAAGCCCGACCATTATAAAGTGTTTAGTCATGCGTGGTAACTTTGTTGCAAAATCAACTGTTAACAGCCACATTGTCAATGGTTAATCGAAAGTTTCATATATAGTTAAATATATATATCATAAAATAACGGAACATATAGCGTACCACCAAGCTGGGCTCGTACCCAGGCGTCGTTGATTTTCCGACCACACCACGGCCCAGGGTCGGTGATATGATGGTGGTAAGGGGGTGCTGTGTAAGGTGGTTTCGGCATCACGGCTTCGGCTGGCGTTCGCTTCCTCGAGTCCAGACCGGTCTTGGATTCTCTCACTTCAATCGACGTCTTGCCGAGTGGATCCGAAGGTACAACCTGATTTGGTGGGTTGTCGATTTGTTGCATGGTTGGCAGTTTGGCGACTCCTGTCAAACGATCCACGTCTCCGCCAGCGGATATAAATCCCGACGTCGGGTCCAAGATTGGGACATCGTCGCGAAGTGGAGCCAGCGTATCGTCGTGATACTTCACAAACGCGGGATTTCTAGGGTATTGGAAGCTGTCGACGTCGCGTCGACCATGCATTGGTGGAAATTTCATTTGTCTCAATCGTTGTTCATGCAAAATCTGTTGCATAGAGTTGCCTCCGCCATTTGCATCGCTCATGATAATTGTTTGAAACTCCGGACGTGGCCTCTGAAATGATTCCGTCATACTTGCTGTTAACTTTGAGCTCCCTGCTCCCTCAATATGAAAATTTAAATTTTCTTGAAAATCAATTTCTCTCTAGAAGACCGAATAGAACCAAAGTTGCCAAGTATCGGACACACGGAGCACTCGAACAAGTTTCCAATGAGACAACAATCACGCTGGTGTAGGCCATTCACCGCGCTAATGACAACAACCAGTTGCTAGGTCTGAAGATCCGCGAAGTATTGTTTACAAGTTACCATATAAGGATTGCTGGGTATAGTCCATTCAAAAAGTAGGGGGTGCATATGTGTGGGATATGCAAATGAAAAGTCGAGCAGATAAATAAAAATAAACACAAGAGTCAATAAAACAAAGAATATAACTACTAGTAATCAGTAAATAATCCCCATTATTGGACATTAATACTCGTTATGTTTTCTCTTTTCGTGAATTTTCTCGAAAATTGTCTACATCTAAGATAATAAGCTAGTGCAGAACATACGCATGCATATGTTAATTAAAACTGAGCATGGCGGCCACAACATGTTTTTTGATAAAGGTAATCTAATGACACCTCTACGTAAGAAGAAACTCATTACATGCATATACAAGGTCAATCAGTCAATAGCTAATCAGTGAATCTAGTTGTTGAGACATATACACAAACTTAGCTCAAAAGTAAAATATATATTCCAAATTTTAAATCCCATTTTACGGAATTACCATTGACGTAGATTTAAATTGGTGAAGCTGCAATAGAACTCTGTGGTTATATACACTGTTATATTTCTAAACGTAGTACTACTAGTATACCATTACTTTTGTGTTTGTAAATGAATCACGATTATCATCACTGTTGATTTTTGGAACTTCGAAGAGAAAAAATTATGTGCTCGAACTAGTTTGTGAATTCGCAGTGAACTTTAATTTGACAGATTTGAGCGTATTTTGGTAAAGTTTCAAAAAGGAAGTCAGTGAAGGCTTAGGTTATATTGAAATCACAATTATTTACATAGAAACTAGTTCGAGCACGCCAATTTGTCTTTGGTTCCTTGTCAATTATTTTAATCGAACTTTTTGCTGACCAAAATATCAAAAATGTGTTGAACGTTACATTCAATTTCATGTCGTAAAGCTTTTATTTGCAAGCTCTGCTGTAATATTCTTTCACTGTGACGCCTGGAAAAGTAACAATAAACGGGAAAAAACACGATTTGTATCCGATTCAAGCAAAAAGCTCTGTGTATACCCGTGCTCTCTGAGAACTGTCCCACGTATACAGTCAACTGGCAATGGTGACGGGTGTATGAAAGTAAACATTTCTTTATCTGGAACCGATATAGAAAGCTGATGCCACGGTGGTTATAGTAATTATATATCCATTTTTATTTCTAAAGAGGATATAAAACAAACCATGGACTCTTAATATCAGCATTATTTATTTGCAGTACTAGGCATTGACTCGTCCACAGCTCCTCTATCATGTTGTTGGTAAATTAAATAGTTATAGACATCAATAAAAACTACCAAAATAAAGGAATATGAAAAATATGTCTATTTACCGACACGCTAATCACCGTGACAACTTGTAATAAATAATAAATAATTATTCTAACTAAATAAGTAACAGAAGTACTAATATCGTGACAGCGAGCGTGTTATTGCAAAGCAACAT